TGGGGATGGATGGTACCCAGTACCTCAGGAAAAGCCAAAAAACTCACAACAATCTACAATTATGAGGTCAAGATAGGCTATAAAGTCGGCAACCTCACAAAGAACCCACTCCCAGCAATCTCAGAAAGGTGGGAAAAGAATCTAGACGCAAGCGCAAGGTGGCCGGCAGAAATCCCTTGGAGTCAATTCATGAGCATAAGACCTGCCAGGATCAGAGGTTTACAATGGCTTATAATCTATTGGGCACTACTGGTCAACCAAGGGCTAGCCAAAAGGAGAAATCAGGATGATCCTCACAACCAAAACTCACATTGCAAAGTCTGCAACCTGAACATGGAAGAATCGTTAGTCCACTGTCTGATTGACTGCCAACAAGCCCAGGAGATGTGGAGGGGAACCAAGGAGACGTGGTCTAAACTCACCGGCCAGGAATTCCCAGCCAGCCAGGAATTCCCAGCCAGCCAGCTGTACCTGTTATCAGGTAGACACGAGAAAGAAAATCTTCAAGAAGACAGAAAGATGGTTGCAGAACTGTGGAGAAGAGCAACACTATGGGTAATATGGAAAGCGAGATGYAAAGCTACATTAGAAAGCCAAACCTCGAGCACAGAAGAAAAAAGGACGGAGATAAATAACATCATACAAACAGAAATAAGGGCGCGCTGGTATAGGGAGCTAAAGGAACAACAGAAGGTATCTCTAGCAGACAAGAAGGAACTAAGACGTAAAAACTTCACAAAACTATGGCTACTGGAGGAAAAAATAGCGAAATTAGAAGGAGAGAACCTGCTTTTCACAAACTGGGATTAACCACAGGCACGAACAGGATGCACACAACAACAAGAACTGCTTCAGACCCAGAATATCCTTTGCCCCAGACAACTACCCCCCCCTCCCCCTCTGATCAATCCACACAAGGGATCTGGCACGGTGGGTTTCTTTCTCCAACTCCCCCTTCCCTGTACTGCCTATCCTACTTCTCCTCCGAACCGACATCCCTGACCAGCTAACAAAAGCAGAAGGACTGTGGTTCGGCTGCATCCGTAAGGCAACGCTGGGGTTCATATGAAAAGAGAGAGGCAGCAGAACCCTCGAAGGCTTGTCCAGCTCAAGAGAAAAGGTGTGAGCAGAGACAAGGATTATGATCCAAGCGGAGACACTCCGCAAAGGGTGAAAGCCCCAATATTATTTACCGTAAGAGGAAAGCCAGCGGCAAAAAGCAAAGGATAAACTCAGAAGGCCGTCCAATAAACTCAGAAGGCCCTGATTATTGGACGGAAAAGAGGCTGAATGGTGAAAAGATCGGAGCGGTTGGAAAGACGGGCACAATTTGGACACGAGCAGGAGTCCCCAACGTGACCAAACATACGTAGGAAGCTGATAAAGAGAAAGGCCGAAAAGAGATGGGAAAAAAGCTGTACACAATGGCAAGTCTTTACAGGAGCAAGGTGAGAGGAGTCAGCAACTGGAAGGTACAGCACAACGGTCTGTGCCAAAGCCAAGCGACATTGGAAAAGCATGCTGGGTTTAGGAGGGACAAAGATCAGGGACTCAGAAGGGAACGAGGGCTTAGTGTTTAAGGATGGAAGCTGTCACCAAGACGCCGGGTGGAGGGCAAGTTAGGGTATCTGGGACAGTGTAGAGGAAAAGGGAAAGGGCTACAAGAGTTTCATCCAGCTCACTAGGGAAAACAAGGGCAACTAGAACCGGGAAGACGAAGATCTGGACATACAACAGAGGGTTAGGATTTAAAGACATGGGGAACCAAAAAAACGACGGGGGCAATGAAAGGGCTGAGGGTTTCATGCACAGACGCAGGGTAAAGACACGGGTCAGCTCTTCCTAGTATAAATAGGCATATCCGGCAGATCCGGGCAGTAGGTCTGAGAGGGAAGAGAGGGCAGTGGCAAGCTGGCAGTCAATCCTTCACCAAAAGTGGAGCAATCAATGCTGTCCAGGGTTCCTTCGGCCAAACGGAAGGAAGCGTGTGTGATATGATGTTTTTTTTTTTGTATTTGACTTGCGGGTGGAAAAGGAACCGGACTGACGCTCCCCAGAAATGAAGGAGCCAGGACCATAAGGCCTCATTTGATTGAAAAATAAAAAAAAATAAAAAAAATCCAGGATGTCATCAGTCATAATTGTTTTTTGTGTTTTAGCCCACTGCAGTAGTAGCAGGTGTCTGACTGTATTTTATCATGAATGAATTCCAACCACCAGTGCTCGCGCCGCTTTTGTGGGGGCTTGGCAGTCCAGGCTGAAATAGCTGGCGGTGTCAGCTGGGGAAAAGGGAACCATTGAGAAGTACTAGTGTGGCTTGACTGGTACCCAACACTTGAGTACTGCTGCTGGAAAAGGTGTGGTATCTATCTGGTATAGTGGAGTGCAAATGGTACAATGGAGTCGTTATTCATAAGGGCACCTTTTTCCTTGTATTTTTTTTTTTAACATCATGAATCATTAGGGCTTGTAAAAGGGAGAGTGGCACAGCCACTACCTCATTTTGCTCCATTGGACATCCAACACCTCTGGATTAAGGCACAGAATGCCTTAGCTCTGCTTCGCTCAGCTGCTGCTGCTTCGGTACTCTCACGTGCCCACAGTGACCCTGCTTCCCCAGTGGAAGCATATGCAGCGAACAGCACTCAAAATTTCTCCGAAAAAAACAAATTAACAATTTAAAGTTTATCGAGTATGAAAATCCTGGTCATCCCCCCCCCCCCCCCCCTTAAATGAGCTCTGCAATCTTAAACCACCAGTACCTCTGCATGGCAATAAAAGATTGATCAGCGCGGGCACCTTTTTGTGTGTGCATGCCTCTGGCACCACCAGCCATTTTGGTGTGGTAGACCAAAAGCCCCGATGGGTGCAGCAACGTTCATGGCCGCATTTGAACAAAATGCCTGGGAAAGCTACTGGTGCACAGCCAGAACAGTGCCTGTGCCAAAAGTGAAAGTTGTTGTAGGGAAGGGAAATCTACATG